CTCACACAAATGAAATGTGTGTAATTAATGGGCAGGGGGCTGGACAGGTCCGAGATGAAAGCGTTTCCTGGACTTGTCCTTCATTTGCATGGTATCAGAAGCTGTTCAGAAGGTGTGACTTTTCCCACAGGGAGCCCTCAGCTCGGTGGCACAATAAAGCCAGGACTTCTTACTCAGAATTAATTAAAGGAGGGGGAGGGGGATGGCAGGGAGATGTTTGAAAGCTGAGCCTGATGCAATAAACAAACACCCCAGCCCTCCTTCCCAAGCCAGGGCATGCCAAGGCAGTCTGTGCAAGCTCCAAACCTGCCACAGCATCACGCAGCCCACCCTGCCCAGTGGGCACCCTTCCTGAGCAGACCTCACAGAGAAGTTGTAAAGTGAGAGAAGGACAGAAATGGAGACAGCATATGCTAAAATGTTTGGGGCTTGGTGGAACAAGCCCTGGTGTGGCCCTTGCTCAGGCAGCATGGACCCCTTGTTTTGCCACTTTGATTTATTCTTGCCTGTCTACTGATGCTCTGCCATAGCCGCATTTAACCTGAAAACAGCTCTTCTCCCTGTCTGGTGTTGCCCTGGTGTATTCACCCAGTGTTTACTTCCCCCCATTGGACCCCATGTCGGCTGGGCGGGCCCACCCACCCTGCCCGGGGGCCCCATGTCGGCTGGCTGGACCAGCCAGGCTTCCAGGTCGAGTCTTATTAGGCAGACTCCCAAATGTCCCTCACCTCCAGCCTTGTCCTTGTGTCCAGATGGCATTGCACGTCAAAGCCATGCATGTGCAGAAACATGCACGCATTGCTGCTTGGATCTCAGGACGAGGCAGTCATCCCTGCACCAACAGCCGAGGTAGTACAGCCCTTTTCATCTGCCACCTCCCTTCAACAAGCAGTGAGGGGACCGCAGGGTGACACTGGGAGTGGTGGTGCTAGGGACAGGCACACCCCTGTCTCAAGGACTTTGCTAGCTTGGAGCAGGGATTTCTGCCCAAAACATCCATGTTAACAGGATGAGTTGATGGAAATGAACATCCATCTCCAAAGCCTCCTGTCCTCAGTGTCCCACAGTTCCCAGGGTGGCTGTGATTCTCAAGCTGGGTTCACACACCTGCTGATGGTGATGGAGGAAGGAAAAGCCCCAGATTCCTGGACTGATGATTGACCCCGCATGTTTGACCAACATCCAGGGTTTCTGTATCCCTGGAAGAATAGCAGGTACCACCAGGGATTGTCCCCATCTCCCTGCAGGGAGCTACCTGCATGGAGGACCATGCACTCAGGACCCTGGAGGGCCCAGGTCACTGGGAAGAGCATGCCATGCCAGGGACTAAGCAGTATCAGTGCAGAGACAGGGTATGAGGAGCCATTAATTAATTCACTTACTCATTAACTAACTAGTAGTGGGCTCTTTAATCTCCCAAACAAAGGCAAACAACATTTGCTGGCTGGAAGCTGAAAAAATTCAAGCCATGAACAAAGCCCCAACTTGTAGTGCTCCTAGGCAGTATGGCCACCCAAAACCCCTTTAATAAAAGGGGCTAATTAACCATGGACCAAGCAAGCTGGGAAAGCATGGGGTCCCTTCTGAGAACCCAGGACTGGATGCCTTTTGCAGCGGAGCAGGCGGCAGGAACTGGAGATGGTGCATGTTACAGAGCTGTGCAAGGACACAGAGGTGTCCATCCCCGGCTCAAACCCACAGGGTGCTGGGCACCCTGTGTTCAGGCCCTTGGGTGCACCCCAGGATGGCAAGGATGGAAGAACTGGAGGATGACCATTCATGCCATGCCTTTCCTTGCCATCGCTGTCTCTGGGGGACAGATAAAAAGCGAAGAGACATCTGCTGATCTGCATGGAGCCACACTGCTACCCTTACCCGGAGCAATAACCAGCACCAATTCGTCCAGGTTCACAAAGCCACTGGGAAAAACAATTAAATTATTAAACGAAAAGCACCATTAAGGACTATCAAACACCATCTATGCCTGGGGAAAGGCCAGGAGCCATTCACTTTTAGTTCCTGTAGTCTGGAAACCACAATATGGGCTTGGCCCAGCTGTCGGCTCCAGGCTTCTGCAGTCCTTGAGTCCCTCTTGGAACAACCAGGCAAGCGCCATCCATGCTGTCCTGAAGCCCAAGCATCATCCACAACCTCTGCGATACAGCAGCGTTGTATGACAGAGAGCATGGCTGAGCACTCAGCCCCTGGGTTTCCCTCCTTGAAATGAATGATGTTTATTGACAGCTCAGCCCAGCCTGCTGCATCAGCCAGGGGATGGCTCATCCTTGCACCCCACAGGCAATGGACACCCTGAGCACCAAGCAATGTCTCAGGCACCCCATAAGGATGGCAGCACCAGCAACTTGCACTTACAAGGCTGCTCCATGTCTGCAATTTATTTTCCTTTCTAGACTTATTTAACAATTTTATTCTTGCATCTTTTCGCATCTGAGACCACTCCATACCTGAATCCCTCCCATCAGCTCCTGAGAGCAAGACTCAGCACCTCAGCAGGGCTGAGCATCCACTAAAGGATAGGACCCAACAGCCTGTTTTGCATAGACACCAAGCTCATACAGACCAGAGAGAAGCAGATACCAGCCTTCTCTCTTGGAAAGCCTCATTCTATGCTTAAAAACAGTGATCAAGGTTCTGTCCCCATTCAATGGTCTTTTCCCCAGAGGGCAAGGACGTGGCATCTGCCCATCAAACCTGGAATTTGCTGCAAGAAAAACTATGATTTCCACAAGACTGATCTGTGTCCGAGATCTTCAGGCGTCCTTCCACTTCCCATATTGGTTCCTTTGGGAAGGGGCTCACACCAAGCAGCGACCTCAGCCCCATCCTACACTTCACTGTCCTTCTCCCCCCTCTGCAACCTGCTACTCCAGCCCCAGCCCCTCCCTGGAAAGCATCAGGCTCAGTTAGACTAATACAAATTTTTAATGCACATATTAAATAAATATTTCAATCATTTCATAGTCAATTTGTACACAACCAAAACAAAAATCCTCAAGGAAACAGGAAAAAAACCCAAACAATCAAAAAAGGTTGGATGAAAAGTCACCCCTGGTTCTGGCTCCTATCCAGTGTTTTTGTTTGTCCTCCCCTGAAGAATAATTGCTTTAACCCTTTGGAGATAGCCACAGTCCCAGGGCAACACGTGCAGAGCGGGACTGGTTGGGAGTGTTCACTCAAGAGATTTAATGATTCCTTTGGGGCTTTTTTTTCCCCTAAATAGAAAACAAAAGGTTTGAAAGAAAACCTTTCCTTTCCTAGGAGGACAAGGACAGCAGTATTTCTCATCGAAGAGCAAACCTGGAAGAGATGGTTGACAATAGAAGTGCCAACCACAAACCAAATGTTATGACAAAACCAGCCTGAAGTGGCTCCAGAGTAATTTGTAAACTTTTAATTTTGTGGATGAAAACTTCCATCTGATAAAAAAAAAATATAGACAGGAAAAAAAAAATGATCAATTTTTGGTGAGTTGTTCTGAGTTGTTCACATTTTCCACATGGAAAAAAGAAAATACCAGTCACCAGCCCACTCTATGGCAGCCGTCAGCTACTGCTTCACCTTAGTAGTTTAAAACAAAAATGCCAGAGATGCTCTTGTGGTTCGGAGGTACCAAGTCAGTTCAGGGCTTTCTCTGGGGCATTCATCGCCCCGTCCCCTCCTGAGAAAAAATAAGATGGGAGTTGCGAAGCCTGCAGCACTTTTGGAAGGATGCAAGTGGCTTCCAGCAATCCCTTGCTCAGCTGAAGAAGGAGGTGCATCCAAGGAAGGAAAGCACCCAGTGGTCCTCACTCCAGGCATTGCAGCCAGCCCCCACAGGTGGTGCCCACGCATCACCCAGGCTGCAAAACCCACCTGGGAAGCCTCCAACCTCCTCTGACATAAATCCCCTCCCGTTAACTGTTTTCCAACCTCTCCAGCTTCTCCAGTAAGCATTAGTCCAGTTCATTTAAGTAGCACATCGCTCCCAGATTTGGATTTCCAGGTTTTCATGTTTGTTTTAAATGGTGATATTTTTTCCCCTCTAGAGCTACCAAAAAAAA